AAATAGGTGTCTGTCCATTGATGCACAGAAAGACAATGAATATATGAAAAAAGTATATTTTCAAATTATTTTTAATCAATGTAGTTTTCAAAATAATGATTTTGCCCGTACTTAGTTTCCAAGTCAATATATATTTATAATAATTTATAAAATACTTACAGTCGTTGTTATACTCGCGGCCACACCTGTGACCACACGAGACAAATGGACGGCTCATCTGTTTGACATCCATAACAGCAAAGACGTCTTCACGTGTTGTTACGCGGATTGTGGGCTGAGATACGCGACACACACGACGTTAAGACAACACCTACCGGTCCACCAATCCGTCCAAACTTATGTTTCCGGTGACGGGCAGTGTAGGCAACGATTCAGAAAACCCTCTGAACTGACATCTCATCGATTTGAACACAGATCTCAACCCAAATACAGGGTTTTATATGAATACTAAAATCAATTCCTATATTACTATACAATACAGAGGTTACAGTTATCTCTCTATAAACCCAAAGCTGTTACAGATTTACAAACTGTAAGTATTTTAAAATTAATTTATTATAAACACTGTATTTTAAAATATTTATTTGTGACAAATCACACAAAACAACATTAACCTAGCTCGCACAGCCAAACCTGTACTACTAGAAAAATTTAACTACGATGCATTTAACTTCCAAGATGACTTCAACTACATTGTCGATAATTTTAACAGTATAACCACGGACGATCAACTGAGTAAGTACGTGGCTCAATTAGGAAATGACACCCTGGTTAATAATTTGGGTTACGAGTTTTGAGCCATCAACATTCACAGCCTTTTACAATACAGAGACCACAGCGAAGTATGAGTTCTTTTTGGACCCTTTGTATATCGGAGTTATTAGAAATAATTTGTCGTGATCAATTTTAAGTTTCCTATAATAATTAAAATAAACTAGATTACTATTAATTTATATATTTGTAAAATTTAAAAATATAAACTTTTTATTATGTACTTATAGTATAAATTATATTTAAAATTATAAATTATAAAATATATTTTAATATTACATTAAATCAGTAGACAATGATGTGTACAAACATTATTAGCCTTGATCAATTATATACACCTGTCCAAATATTGTAGAGTATTCTAAATAAATAATTTTGCAATTAGCATTTATGTTGAAAAGTAT